GGAGGACGTGTTGGGGATGGTCCGGGACAGAGCCAGGGAGGAGGACGTGTTGGGGACGGTCCGGGACAGAGCCGGGGAGGAGGACGTGTTGGGGACTGTCCGGGACAGAGCCGGGGAGTTGGACGCAGAGGTAGTGATGTAGTGAGGTGTGTTGGAGGTGGGAGTGCTGACAGAGTTCTTTTTCTGCTGCGGGACGAGAGGTGAGGACTGGAGGCCGGCGGGGTTCGCCGCGGCCTTGGGTCTGTCTGGGGACGGGGGGCTGTCCCCCTGAGCCAGGCCCTTGGCTGCGTTGCCAAGGATGGCCAGAGCCTGAGAGATGGAGTCGAGGGAGGCGGAGTCATCGAGGGAGTCCAGACATATGGGCTCTGGCGGTGACTGAGGAGGTCGCTTGGCAATTGGAGCAGCAGGGGAGGGGGCGGCACCTGCTGATGGCGCTGGTCGCTGAACCCATGCCATCTCCTGAAAGTAAAGAAGAAAATTACTATCAATCCACACCAGAAATACCATCCTATTTATCTCTAGTGGGATTTAAAAAACAAGTTCACAGCTTGTTGAATTAGAGGCAACTGGATTTCTTTGATTTTGCTTCTCATCCAATGAGTTCTGTCAATTCTGAGAGCTCATCGAATAAGAAATGGAACATCTTTAAAAGGGATCCATGATTATTTGCAACATTAAACTTTATTTGATAAACATATATTTTAACTGTAAAATAAAGACTGTAAAAATATTGTAGGATGTTCAGTTTATATAATTTTTAAACTCCGTCCATCCGTTTTCTGCCGATTATCCGGGGTCGGGTCGCGGGGGCAGCAGCCTAAGCAGAGAGACCCAGACTTCCCTCTCCCCAGCCACTTGGGCCTGTTCCTCTGGGAGAATCCCAAGGTGTTCCCAGGTCATCTGAGAAACATAGTCCCTCCAGCGTGTCCTGGGTCTTCCTATGGGTCTCCTCCCAGTGGGACATGCCCAGAACACCTCACCAGGGAGGCGTCCAGGAGGCATCCTTACCAGATGCCCGAGCCACCTCAACTGGCTCCTCTCGACGTGGAGGAGCATCGGCTCTACTCTGAGTCCCTCCCGGATGACTGAGCTTCTCACCCTATCGCTAAGGGAGAGCCCAGACACCCTGCGGAGGAAACTAATTTCTGCCGCTTGTACTGTATACGCAATCTCGTTCTTTCGGTCACTACCCAAAGCTCGTGACCATAGATGAGGGTAGGAATGTAGACCGATTGGTAAATCAAGAGCTTCGCCTTCTGGATCAGCTCCCACTTCACCACGACAGATCGGTACAACGCCCGCATCACTGCAGACGCAGCACCAATCCGCCTGTCGATCTCCCGCTCCATTCTTCCCTCATTTGTGAACAAGACCCCGAGATACTTAAACTCCTCCACTTGGGGCAGGACCTCCTCCCCGACCCGGAGAAGGCACCCTACCATTTTCCGGCTCAAGACCATGGTCTCGGATTTGGAGGCACTGATCCTCATCCCAGCCGCTTCAAACTCGGCTGCAAACCGCTCCAATGAAAGCTGGAGATCACGATCTGATGAAGCCAATAGGACCACATCATTTGCAAAAAGCAGAGATGTGATCCTAAGGTCACCAAAAAGGATCCCCTCAACACCTTGGCTGCGCCTAGAAATTCTGTCCATAAAAGTTATGAACAGAATCGGTGACAAAGGGCAACCTTGGCGGAGTCCAACTCTCACCGGAAACAAGTCCAACTTACTACCGGCAATGTGGACCAAGCTCTGGCATCGATCATACAGGGACCTAACAGCCCGTATCAATGGGCCTGGTACCCCATACTCCTGGAGTACCCCCCACAGGAGTCCCCGAGGGACACGGTTGAATGCCTTCTCCAAGTCTACAAAACACATGTAGACTGGTTGGGCGAACTCCCATGCACCCTCCAGGACCCTGCTGAGGGTGTTGAACTGGTCCGCTGTTCCACGACCAGGACGAAAACCACACTGCTCTTCCTGAATCCGAGATTTGACTATCCGGCGGATGGACCCTCCTCCCCAGGACCCCTGAATGGACCTTACCAGGGAGGCTCAGAAGTGTGATCCCCCATAGTTGGAACACGTTCTGCGGTCCCCCTTTTTAAACAAGGGGACCACCACCCCGGTCTGCCAATCCAGAGGAATTGCCCCCGATGTCCACGCGATATTGTAGAGTTGCGTCAACCAATGCAAGCCCAGAACAACCAAAGCCTTAAGGAACTCCGGGCGAATCTGATCCACCCCCGGCGCCCTGCCACCGAGGAGCTTTTTAACCACCTCAGTGACCTCACCAGAGATTGGAGAGTCCGACCCAGGGTCCTCAGACTCAGCTTCCTCATGGGAAGACGTGTCGGTGGGATTGAGGAGGTCTTCGAAGTATTCCGCCCACCGACCCACAATGTCCCAAGTTGAGGTCAGCAGCGCCCCATCCCCACCATAAATAACATGAAACATGGCCCACTCGGACTGTCCTGGTGCCAAAAGCACATATGGACACCCTTATGTTTGAACATTGTGTTCGTTATGGACAATCCATGATGAGCACAGAAGTCTAATAACAAAACACTGCTCAGGTTCAGGTCGGGGCGGGGGCCGTTCCTCCCAACCTCGCCTCTCCTGGTCTCACTGTCATTATATCCACGTGAGCATTGAAGTCCCCCATCAGAACGAGAGAGTCCCTGTTAGAAGTGCTCTCCAGCACCCTCCCCAAGGACTCCAGAAAGGGTGGGCAATCTGAACTGCTGTTAGGCGCATAGGCATAAACAATAGTCAGTACCCATCCTCCCACACATATGCAGAGCGAAGCTACCCTCTTGTTCACCGGGGTGAACCCCAACGTACAGGCACCGAGATGGGGGGCAATAAGTATGCTCACTCCTGCTCGGCGCCCCTCAGCATGGGCTGTGCAAGGCTGCTAGCGAGCTATATCCACCCCGAAGGTTAATCTTGGACATTATCTGACGACTGGCTCTTTTAAATGAAACCAGAGAGCGTTGACAGAGAGGAGAAAGTAGAAATGACAGCCTGCAACTGAAAATATGGATGGAGGACCTCAGTTTAGCTTGTTAGTTTGTCGTGCTAGCACCGAGCTAATACATATAAGGCAATATAGTGTTGGCTCTAGCGCCAAGGCTAACAGGCTAAGCTGAGGCTCTTCTTCCATGAAGCAGCTCTGTTGTCCTCCATCCATATTTTCAGTTACAGGCTGAGTCATTTCTACCTTCTCCACTCTGTCAACGCTCTCTGGTTTCATTTAAGAGTTGATCATCAGATATTGTCCAAGATTAACCTTCAGAGTGGATATAGCTCGCTCACACCGAGGACTTATCCACGTCATCATTTACCCAGAACGCTTTGCGTGTAAATAAAATGGCTCTGCCCGTGTTAAAATATATTTTAAAAAATGCACAAATCTAAACAGCCTACAGTATTTTTACAGTCTTTATTTTACAGTTAAAATAAATGTTTATCAAATAAAGTCTAATGTTACAATTTATCAGGGATCCCTTTAAAAATAAAGTTCAGGCAGCTAGCTTTAACTCAATATGCTCAGATTATAGCCTGAATTTCTAGGCAACAATAACTACATGGTGGGAAATACATTTTACCAACCTTTGGCTTGGGTTTTGGTGATGGAAGTATCTTTTTTCTTGCTCTGGAGCAAAACAAAATATGAGAGTTAAAGGCAAGTTTAAAAAAATAATAATAACAATAATGCAGAATCAGTCATTTGAAGTCATGACTCACGTGTAGCCTGTTAGATGACCATGAACCACGATGCTCTCTTTGAACAACATTCTGAAAAATAAATAAAACAGAAAAACACGAGTTCAAAATTCATTCATTCATTTATTGTGATGCACCATTTGTTCTGCTGCTGTGTATACGGTCATTTATGGAATCTGAAAACTTCCTCACATTATCACAAGATTTGGTCTTAATATTTAGTGAAAACAATGCTGGTTTTGTTGTGATTATGACAGAAAGTTTAGAAAGTTGAAACATTACCTAACATCTTGCAGATCGCTATTTGAACAACCTCAGTTTGGAGAAACATTGATGTGTAACAATGCATTGATCCATGTATCGATTAAATGATTAATTATTCAATTACACCATGGCAAAACTAAAACAATCCATATTATCATGTCCATCTAACACAAGCATGAGAAACGGTTAATTCTGACAAGGTAACGCTAAAGTAAATTTTTACCATCTTAAAACAACTTCAGTCTCCAAAATTTTATGTTTAATGTAATGCCATTTTACAACTGGTGTAAATTTTGATTTGCAGGGTGAATTATATTTAGATAAAAATCTTTGGTTATTTGCAAGCACAAATAGTAGCAAAAGCAGTATGCTGTAGCACTAACCAGGCTGAACTAGCCCATTTCCAAAGCAAATTTTGCCATTTAAAATGACTAAAATTAGTCATTTTCAAATCTTCATAATAACACAAATGTCGTTTTATAAACAGAGTTGCACATAAGTGGTGCGCAGGTACGCGTGCGCGGTCAAAAAAGGAAAAAGCGCACCAGTTGGTATGTCATGAAGCTTCCTTGCATACCTAAGATTGTACCTGATTGTCTGTCACAACAACAGTTAGCAGGGCTCTAGAAGTGCGACCAGTTTGGTCGCAAATGCGACCTGATTTCTTAAAAAAAAAAAAGAATCCAGCCGCACTGGTGTGAATGGATCGTTGTTCGGTGCGCTACATCGGGACCTTGATATAAGGATTAAACGAAGTCCAGAGCCGTTTTGTCCAATCAGAGCAGAGCAGGGCGGGACTTTCAGTGAGAGCATGTTTGGTTGAAGCAGCGGGCCGGAGTCGAGCTGCTGCAGCGATCAGTCCATACATCTCCTCCTCCGCTCCTCCTGCACTTAGCTCCTGAACTACCAAAAACTTTGGTCTGTAAAACCTAACTTTATATTAAATATATGTTCAGAATGTTGTTATTGAACAGATCTGTCCAACTTTGTGTGAGTGACTAAACTCTCTCCTCCTGATGAGAGATTACTGTGACAGGAGCGCATTGCTGTGTGCGCAGGCTGAGTCTTTCTGTGGGATTCACCGAGTTCTTCTAATTAAACCACAATAACTAACAAAACATTTGTTTGCACCATATTAAAGCAAAGATATTCTCTATTTAACACCCCAGTCAAAAACATTATATATATATATTAAAAAAATAAAAACAACTTGCCATGTTCTCTAGGTGAAAGAGTTTTAAATTTTATTTTAATTTATTATAAAGATATAAACCTTCACATTGCTGTTAGTTTCACATTCCAACAATATTTCAGCTGAAATATGGAAGTTCAACATTTTCTCCAGGCTGCACCAGAAGTCCAACAGCTAGCTGCTGCCACTGCTATTAGCACTAAAATATAATTATGTAGTGCAAAATTTAAGGGACGGTAAGGTTTACAAAATAGTGTTTCTGCTATAAATGTTTTTGATTCCTCGCTGTGTTCTGACTAGCAATTAGCTCATCAGCCCTGTTTGAACTGAGGTCGTTCAAACTGCTATCTACAACAAGTAAGATATTTACTGCTTTAATTTCTCTCCTCAGAACCACACTTAAATTATCTGCATGTCTTCTTTGACACGTATTTCAACAAAACATCGCTTTGTCATTAATATTAGAAGTTATATGAAATCTTAAAGAAACTCAAGGTTTCATTCTTTTCAAAGATCAGGACAGTCGTGCTGGTGACAATCAGCTGAATGCACACATGATTTTACTGTTTCAAAGCTTTTCAAAGTGTCATGACTGAACAAAAGAAAACCTGATTCTGAGTTTAATCATTTTTCCTACAATTCTTGTACTCATGAAAAACCAAATGTAGGGCTGGGCGATAAATCAATTTTATCGATTAATTCGAATTTGCTGTGTATAACGATTTAATTTTGGAGAAATCGGGATCCCCCCCCTCAAGTGCATTCTTTGGGGCTTCCGTTGTTCGGAGGTCTGTAGTTAGGTTTCACCCCGCCCGTCCCGTCCCTCAAGACGCTGACAATATGGACGCTAGCAAAGAGGAACTACTTCCCAAAAAAGGCGCTGTGTCTTCAGCTATCTAGAACTGGTTCGGTTTCGCAACCGCGGACTCGGAGCAACAAACAGCTCGCTGCAAAATCTGTTTGAAGGCTGTTGCTACCAAAAGCGGGAGTACGACAAACTTGTTCCAACACCTGAAACAGAGGCACTCTATGGAGTGTGAGAAATGCTGCTCTTTATGACAAAGTCAAGCTAGCAGCAGCTCAAAAAGCAGCGCCGCCAAAAGACAAGCTACCTTAAGGGAATTATTTTCAAACTGCGTTCCCTACGAAAAGACGAGTGCCCGGTGGAAAGCCATCACAGATGCTGTCACGTTTTACACTGCAAAAGATATGGTGCCTATTTGTACAGTGGAAAAAAACCCGGCTTTATTCAGCTGCTGAAAACTTTGGAAGTCAGGTATGTGCTACCGAGCCGCAAATATTTCACCGAAGTTTCCTTGCCACACCTTTACAACAAACAACACGTGTGAAAAGATGCTGAAGGATGTGCGTTTTATTTCTGCAACAACGGACTTATGGTCCAGTCGAACAATAGAGACGTATATGAGTATAACAGCGCATTTTGTTGACAAAAGCTGGGCTCTACAAAGTATCTGTCTGCAAACGGCTTACTTTCCTGATGATCACAAAAGTGAAGTAATCACAGAGGGATTAAAAGAAGCTCTGAGTTCCTGGAAACTTCCTGAAGACCGACTCGTCTGTATTAGGGGTCGGCCGATATTTTTGGCCGATATTTGCGGTTTCTTTCCTTGTATCGGTATCGGCCGATACACTGTCCGTTCGGCCGATCCGTTCTTTGGGTCACGCGAGCGCATGTGTTCGCCCCTTCTCCCGGGGAGAGCGTAGCAGCTAATGTTGTGAGACAGAGTGCTAACAACAAGGGTGAGTTATGAACTGTAAATGTGTTTTAAATGTCTAATTTAGCTGTTTCTACCCTCTGTGTTGGAATATGAGGGGAGAAAGAACAGCTGTGTTTAAGTTTCTTTTCCAGACAGGAGCGCTGCGACATGTTTTACTTTGACTTTCGCACCGCACTGTAATCAGCGTGTCCGTGTTTTTCATTTTAAAAATGCCGGAGCTGCTCACATGAGGCATAGAAAAACACCTCTATTGTTCTCCCTGCTGGATTAAAATAAAAAAGCTTTC